GTTTAACAGTATGCTGTCAGTTAATTGGTATAAATAAAATCACAACCTTGTGCTTAAATGCTTCGGTCAGAATGCAACGTTTCATTCCATCCAATAAAACATTTATGTGAAATTGCATCATAAATTACTGATGAATTCTTGAGTTATGGCCAGAAAAGACATTTTGTGAGGTCATGATGGTGCAGACCATGGATACCATCTAAAATCTGGAAAAAGACCATTCATAAGATAGGATGCATGACTGGACAAAAAACAAATAATTAATTAAAATCATTCCAAAAGTACATAAATAGTTTTTGCACAGTTTCTTAAAACATGGCTTATCTGACCAATTTATTGTTAGATTAAATGCCAATTAGGATTCTGCCGATTACACAAAACTGCAAAAAGAGTGTTTATTACGATGAATCTACAGCAAAGTTTACAACACATTTGTTTGCCAAAAGTCCCACATAACAGGGCAGCACAGCATCATGTTAAGTATGGTATGCAGACCAATCATGAATACAGTCACAGTCACCCACAGGCCCATTTGGAGTCCAACTGTTAGCCAAACAGCAATGATTAGACTCCACAGCAGGAGCATTTAAAGCAACCAATACCCGCTTGTTTTCAGCATCGTAAAGTCTGGCCACTGAACCTGCTGCAAATGAAGGTGCTGAACCGTTTTCACTTTTGCTTGCAAGGCTTTCTATTAATGTTGATTTAAATTATGGGAAGATTTATGGAAAAAAAAAAAAAATCAGATTGCCCTTCCCTTAGAAATTGGAGTAGAAGCAATGTGCGATTTAAGATTGAGATCAAGTCTGATATCAGACTACAACATTTATTGAACACGGAAAGAAAAATATGGACTATAAATGTCGAAAGCTGTGACCTTGGACAAAAACTAGAGCACTGAAATAGTGCTGTATCGTCCACACTAAAAGATTGCAAAGACAATGCGGGGAACCGGGGTTTGAGCAGGTCGCTTTGTGTTGAGAGGTAACAGTGCTAACTGACTCAACCTTGTCCCAGTGCCCTTGAGCACAAAATTCAGACTGTCACATACAAAAGGACAACCAGGACTGCCCACTGAACAGTTCATCTCATGCTTTTTCTGTCTTTTCCCATTTATGTTTTTTTTTTTTTCCCCACATGTCAGAACTGTCTGAGCATCAAAGCCACAAATGAAATTTGGTCGGAGCTGCATAATGATAACATCCTCAATTGTAATTATACCGCTCGGACCAAATTGGAGCTGCATAATGATAACTTGGATTCTTAAAAGCTATGCAAGTATATTTACATAGCTTTTAAGCAGAAGTAAAACTGTAGCAGGTAGCTCCACATCTTTGACTTAGCAGAATTTTTATAACAATAACATTACTCAGACTTTGAGAATAATAATAATAATTTTGCATCATAGCTGGCTCATCTCTTGCGCCTTGTCCATCTGCCCAGCAAACATTTCAAACTAACCAAACGTCGACTGCTGGTCTTTTCTTGATATCTAATCGATTCAAAGTTAGTCCTACTGGAGCTGTCCAGTCCAACCACATTTGAGTTTCACACATTTTGTAAAATTTGTATTAATATTAATTATTTATTGTGAAGAATCCGTTGGTAAAGTTTAGGTATTTGCAACAAACTTGGTTAGGGTTACAAAAAGATCCTGGATTGGGTTAAAAATAAAAGGACTCTCTCGGTTGCCATGGTAATGCCACCCTGCTTTCACTGAACAAAATGACACAATGTCTTCTGTTATGAAATGTACTTCCTATTCAAATGCAATACCTACACGTTTGAAGAAAAAAATTAACCCCTGCTGGATAATGGTAAGGTTTCAACTGACTGGAAATCAAAATGGGGACTCAGTAAGCCATTTTTTTTCTCTCTCCATCGTGATTTGTAATGCAGCAATTCTTAAATACAAAGTTTTCATTCATTTAAAGAAAATGTATTTTTTCTGTGGACCCACTGTAAAAACCATATCATTTATTTTATCTAATACTTATTTAATTTGGCATATTATGAATAATTAATAGAAAAAGATGTAAAACTTACGAAAATACAATTAAAAGCTCATAAATCTATACACTCCTTCACACTTCCAGAGCTGTTCAGTGGGCTCTTTGCCAGGCTGATTCTGGCCCCTGGGCCTTATGTTTGACACCCCTGCTTTAAAGTGATTTTTCAAATTTCGAAATTGCAAAGCATTAATGGCAAATGGCCTGTATTTGTATAGCGCTTTTCTAGTCCCTAAGGACCCCAAAGCGCTTTACACAACCAGTCATCCACCCATTCACACACACATTCACACACTGGTGATGGCAAGCTACAATGTAGCCACAGCCACCCTGGGGCGCACTGACAGAGGCGAGGCTGCCGGACACTGGCGCCACCGGGCCCTCTGACCACCACCAGTAGGCAACGGGTGAAGTGTCTTGCCCAAGGACACAACGACCGAGACTGTCCAAGCCGGGGCTCGAACCGGCAACCTTCCGATTACAAGGCGAACTCCCAACTCTTGAGCCACGATCGCCCCAATGTAATTAATTAGTTAATTAATGTAACTAATGTCCCATTTTATCTGGTTTTCATCACTTTAAAAGATCCAGAACAAATACTAGTACGTACACATAGCTATACATAGTATGAGTAGTACCAGATTGCAAATTACAGTGTATGTCATACCTTTAAAATCTGAATTAAACTTTAATGGCCAAATATCTCACTCCAAATCCTGTCGATCAAAGCCTGCAATACATTTTGCTCAACGCAAGTCCAGGTGCTCTATAGAGTGAAAGCTTTGAATTATTAATTAGCATGCCTTGTTGCTTCTTATGTTCACCACTTAGCAGTTTGTAAGCATTTTGCTCCATATAAATGAACCCGACTGTAGCCTGAGTCACGTCAAGATATCCAACCAGCCATTCGAGTGGAAACAACGACGACCTGTGATATTCGTGTCTGTCAGGTGAGTGTGTCTGATATTCTGTCTCCATCTGTCATTTGTGGAGCACACCAACAATTAGCTTCATTACTGATTTATCTGGCAACTACGCTCTCAGTTAATTAACCTATAAAATGTCAAAAACGGTGAAAAATGTGCATTGTAATTTTTTGAATGCACCAGACGCTTTTTTAATGTCCTATTGTGTCCGACTACAAATCCAAAAGCTATATGGAATTCATTTACTGATAGAAATGACAAAGAAAAGCACAAAATCATTACAAAAAGGTTTCTTCTTAATTGACATTTGAATATTATATCGGCTACTTTAAATGAACCGTCTGCAAATGCACAATTCTTATTTAATTAAGAAGAAATATATTCAACCTTATAAACAGCAAGCAATGCATTTCAATACAACACCACTTACACAGAATCAGTTATTAAAGCAAGTAACCACAATTATTTGAAAAAGCTCTACTGAAAGTAGGGCAAAGTTTAGCTTTTTAAAATCAATCTCTCTTTCTTTGCTCTGTTGCACAATCTCAGTCACACTTTTCACTCTTCTTAAACTTAACTTCATTTTTATTTTTTTTAAGAACTGTTGTATATAGAAAAGTTTTTGCACCATCTTACAATTATTTCCCTTGTGGGATCAATAAAACATCAATTGAACGAGCTGTTTATTTTTATTGAATCATTTGGCCAAAACATTAGTAGCTTATTAATCAATTAACCATACACCTGAAGCTGCAAGAGGTAACATGTTTCCACAACTTGGAATGTCCAAGAATAGACAAATAGCTTCCTTATTGACTCGTTTTTTCAACAAATGGTATTTAAAAAAAAGAAAAGAGGAAAAATTACTAAATTTACCCCATTTACTGTCTTACATCAACCTGTGATGCTGCATCAGTTTTAAACTATATAAATATATATAAAACTAGTGTGGAAGGATTTTAAAATGCTTCTGCTATTTATCATAATAAAGATATTACAAACAAACAAATATATCAGTATCATAAATGGCCATACTGTTTTTGTAAACGCTGATATCAGCCCTTTATTTTGCAGTCCATGCCCAATATAAAAAATAAATAAATAAAAAAAAAATTATAAAAACATAGTTACACAGGCCAAGAGACCAGTTGGCAACCACCTGTTGCTACAGAAAAAAATTGCATTCTTCTGCTAGTCGTAAGTGCCTGCTGAAGGTGCTTTGAAATCAAATGCTAAAGCCTCGTTCATGTCGGCCCAGAGCGTGGCGAGTGACGCAACGATAACCATCGGTCACTATGGAAAAATGTGTATGCCACAACCAGTTTGCTATTGCTAGGTGAAGTTGGTCACAAAGTGGTATACCACACAGAAAACCTGTGACTCCTTTGGCCAGTAGCAGATTGTCGAGTTCACCCGTAGTTTGCATGGAATTTGCTGATTTTTCTGCAAATGCTCGCCAACCACTGTCCGAGCAGTGAAAACTATCAAACATGAAATGCAAAGCGAAAATGACGGCCGTTCAGCTTCAACGCAAAATATGCCCTTTTTGATTTGGTTTGGTTCAGCAGTAATGCAAAACATCAACTTTTACAACGTTTTACAGTAGGACATTCAGCAAACCCCAAGTTTGTTAAATAACATGTTTACACAATATTTAGTTGTCATGATGCTGGGCGGTATTAGCCAATGCTTGTCTCGCTCTCTTTCATGTAAGTACATCTAAGTCACAGCAATAAGCATTTGTTTCTCTCAAACAGGTTTTGGGTTGATGTTATATGCATTAAGCATTAAAAATGTGTACTTTACCCTACAGCAAACAGAATACTTCTATTAGCTTTTGAAGGCTTTGAAATTATCTTCCCAATAGCAATAACTTCTTAAGTAACCTCATAGGACCTGGAAGAAAACAGGCCTATGTGAAGAAAAGACTTGAAGCTCATACTGGTGTTAGAGCAGGCTCCTGCATTATTAGATGGTCACCACTGAACCCATCATCCCCACACACACACACACACACACACTGGATGACAAAAGAGGGAAAAAAACAAAAAAAAAAACATCTTACCTGTATAACCTGCAACCCAACCCCATGAAGACACCATGGCCAGCAACCACTTGAACATGATGCCTTCAATGTGCCAGAAAACGGAGCGGTCCCATATTCTCAGGGGTTGAAGCAGCATCAGGTACAAGCAGTAGGATGGGATGGCTACACAGTTGTTGATGAACATAAAAGTGAAACGGAGCACGGATCTGAGGAGAACCCAGACCAGTTTCCCGGCCCCATCCAAGAGCTGTGCCATCCTGATACACACCGTCTGCAAAAGGACACACGCACGGCAGCAGTTAGCCTCTCCTACTGACTTGTTTCACAAGACAGGAAACAAGTCATGTGTGCAACTTGCATCACGTTATCCTCACTGTACACAAACTGTCTGAACCAATCCCCAAATTTACTCATAGCTATTACACACACATCCGTACACACACTCTAAACCAAGCAGAGTCTGCCGCTAACCGGCTGAGGCTATTTCACGGAATTTATATGTAACACACGCGTCCTGGACGCTGCAGTCACAGTATTGATAATGAAGATTTACTCTTAAATATGCCCGCTCCTTCTTCTTTAGCGACAGTCTGCTAGCGGCCAATCTTTTACAGTTTTCCTTGCAAAGACAGCACCATAAAAGGACCAGCCGCTCAGGACGCGGTCGAGTACTTCATGACATGCTAGCTAGCGGTGGAGTGAGTTAGCATAACGAGATTAGTTAATAAATATTGGCACTATTGCGAAATAGACCGACACGCACAGCATAGGAAGCTAAGACTTAACACTCCAGTGTTTTACGAGACAATAACACACGTTAACTCGTACGCTGGGTGTCTGGAGGCTCCTGCAAAGTGCAATAGCCGTGTGCCTCATCCAGAATATAGCCCGACCCCTGTAATTGAGTAGTAAAAGTCCTGTAGCTCATGTTACTCACCCGGTTACCGTCACTGAAGCATCCAAGGACGGCCGAAGGTGCAGCTAATTGTTGGAGCGAGATAAACGCTGTCACGTGTACCCAACCCAGGAGGTTAAGTTAGCAGTATTTGCAGGTCGGCATGGTCGGGCTATCAAACGTGGGGGTCAAAGGTGGAAATACTGCGCGATAAAACTGCGGCTGCACCCATTTAGCTATAAAACGCGATCTGCTTGGGAACACGCTCAATCCCGGAGGGCACCGTTAGCTCGCTAGCTGGCTAGCAAGCGACTCCACTCGAGCGCCGCTGGCTCCATCTCAGACACCGGGATAAATCCTCTGATGCATCATCATCATCATCGTCATCGTCAAGTTAGCCGACCTCCCATTAGCGAATATTGACGAGAGGCGGCTCAGCCGACGAGGGGAGGCCTGTTGGGATCAGCCCTGATCGTTAGACAAACGCGCCTTAAAATATGCACCGCAGGTACACATCAAATACAAAGATCAGCGATTTCTCGTCTCTAGCTTCCAAGAGCCGTTGTCTTTCTCCGGATGCCGATCACACCGCGTCAATGTACACAAAAGATCAACAGGATCGGAAATGATATGATCCTGCCTTCACAATAAAATCTTCTTAGTAGTAATCGTACAAAGTGAAGTCAGCTTTTTTTCTTTTTTTTGGTCTAGATATTATGCTATTAAATGAAAAATAAAAGGCTTAACTAAAAATCCTTACATGTCCACGCCAGGAACCTTTAGTATTTAGTCACTTTTGTAGATTAACATTGTTAAATGTTCTTATAAGGTTGGATTCCTCACTGAGAAGATAAAGTAGTTTGAGGAGCTCCTGAGAGAGAGAGGTAATAACAGAAGGAGGAAAGTTAGTAAATAAGGAAGTGCAAACGATTACTAAGGAGGAAGTGAGATTAGCTATTTAGAGGATGAAAAGCAGAACGGTCCATATGACATACCTGTGGAAGTATGAAGATATCTAGGAGAGCTCAGTGGACCTTTTTACACAGTCCACTGAAAGGATGAGGTGCAGAGGTGTAGTAGCTTCAGAGGGATAAGGATTATGATGATGATCATCATCACAGAGATCATTCCTGTTATCCAAATATCTGACTATAGTCTATACATTTAAACAATGATCACCCAAACAGAATTAGCAAAAATTAGCTTAATTATCGCACTTTTTTAGAGTTTAACTCAACAAATTATAAATTAAGTCAACCCTGAGCAGCTGCTGGAACAACTATTAGCCTATATTGGATGATTAACAAGACCCCACCCCCAACTATTAGCCTATATTGGATGATTAACAAGACCCCCATCACACTTCCAGTATTCACTTTGTTTAATGTTTTAGGAAGATCATCCATATAAAAACGGAAACAAAACACCTGACAATATCCTTCCTAGTCAGATCACGCTGGTTACTAAAAAGGATGTAGGTTCCAATGAATAAGTCTTGATTAGTTCACTAAAGATTCAAATGTCTGATTATTTACAAAGTTACAAACAGATCATTGTCACATAATCATCATGTTTTTAATCTTTGAGCTTTTTTTTTCTCCATATTTATTTGTGCAATTTTTATACCTGAATATATTACATTTTTAAATGTATTCTTTTCGCAAAGTTATGAAAAGCTTTAATGTTGATGGTGTTGTCCTGTGAGGATGTTTTACATACATTTATGTATATGGTTTCTTTTACTGTTTAGTTTTTGCCATAATAAATCATTTCTAACTTTTTTGTGTAATGAAATGTTGGGCTCTTGTATTAAGAAAATTAAATGTTTCTAAACATTTATTGTTTGGCCAGATCTTGTATAAAATAAATTTTCACATTTATTTTATTTTTTAAATTCTCCATAATTAAATATCTTGAACTTATAATATGAACTGTATTCTTAAATGTTTATTGCTCTGGTCATGTGATCATACTCTACTTATTCTTGTTTTTTGTTTTTAATACTTTTATTAGTTCAATAAAATATTACCTATATTATGGAATAATGTTATATATACTACAATACTACCACTACTACTAATGATGATGATAATAATATTGTAATCATTGCCACACTAGTTCAATGTGAACTAGAAACTAATTTGAATTTCTATTGCACAATGAGGTCATCGAGACACTGATTTTGAAAACCAAAAGCGGATGTTGTTGTTTTTTAAGAGCTTCTCGCTTGATCATCTGACGCCTGCCAGTAGTCTGAGTGCGCAGACTCCGAAGTGCTGATGGTTGGTTTCAGTCTACGACCACAAAAATAAATAATAAATTTAAAAAATCTTATGACTACATCTGAAGTCATCTCGGCACATTTCCAGTTAGTTTTTAAGCTCACATTTGGTTGTGGATATTTTATAATTATTATTTTTAACAGGCTTTGCCTTTTCTTCTCTAGGATTAGAAACAGCGTTATGGTATTTTAGGAACGCTGTGAGCGCAAAATTAATAATATTATAAAAGTTTAAAATAATTATAGCTCACTTTTAGGTGCTTAAATGCTGATGAACATAACAGGAAAGTCAACTGAGGGGTAAAAAATTAAAACGCTAAACTATCAAGAAAGTGTTAAATATGATATTATAGACCAGTCATTTAGATAAATATGAGGCTGACAGCACAGATTGTAATGGTCTTCAAATGAAGATGCCCCGTTAATTACTATGGGCTGCCCCCTGTTGGCTGTCTGTGCAACTGCATGTATGTAGGACGCTAAATCCAAGGACGTTTAGCATTAAACTATCCCAGAGAGGCTACTGCACGCAAGAAATCCTATTTGAGAATATGTGAAAAATTAAAAAGCTGCATTAAATTAGGCATTTTCATGTTATCCAGACAGCAAAAGATATAAAGATGAGCATAGATGAGCATAGATAAAAATAGATGAGTTAAAAAAAATAAAGTGTTCAAAAAAAACAAAACAAAAAACACACTAAGTTATTATTTAAATCAATTTGGTATTTTAATCATTAAAAAATATGTACATATTTAATTTCTACAAGGTCAAGTGCAGAAGGTCAAACTGTAAGCACTACTAGAAGCGAGTGTATGTGCTCCTCTGTGGCGCGGGCTGAGCTCCGCCCTGCTGCAGCTGGTGACGGAGTTGCTGGGAGTACGGGTCCTCCAGAGACTTTACTGACACCGTCGTCTTGGGCCCCGTCTTCCACTCTATGCCGCTCTCATCCACCACAGAGGCCTCCACGGTGACGGTGTGGGTGCCCAGGATGGAGAAATTCAGCAGGAACTGGGTGCTGAAGTAGTCGTTGTGGGGCTCCACACGCTGCTTGATCTCATTTGTTTTAGTATCTAGTGGAATCTGAAATGGGAAAAAAACTGTTTAAAACGTTTATACTGGTCAAACTGGTCTAATCTGTGTCATTTAATCCATCTAAACTATGTTGTAGTGAGTTGTCCAGTTTTAGAGATCAGCTGAGAAGATCTCTGACCTTTCTTAAACATAGTGAACTAGACAGCACCTCAGAGAAATTACAAGCTCATTACTCACAGCAACGCTAATGTCTATTAAGCTGCTTTGTTAGATACACGTTCTGCTGCTCAGTAATGAAAACATCCAATCAGCCAACCAGATAGCATCATCTCGATGCATTTAGGCATGCAGACGTCATCAAGACAACCTCTGAGTTCGAACTGAGCATCAGAGCATCAAAAGTTAAGGTGTATTTTTGGGCTTTTCGCCTTTATTTGAAAGTCGGGTAGTGCAGAGTAGACAGGAAAGAGGAGAGGAGAGAGCAGGGATATACGCAGCAAGGTGTCAGGGGTTGGACTTGCATGCAGAAGAGCATCTCTGACTGCACAACAGTGAAGCAAATGGGCTGCAGCTGCAGAACAAGAAACAGGAAGCTGTAGCTACAGTGGGGCAAAAAAGTATTTAGTCAGCCACCGATTGTGCAAGTTCCCCCACTTAAAATGATGACAGAGGTCAGTAATTTGCACCAGAGGTACACTTCAACTGTGAGAGACAGAATGTGAAAAAAAAATATCCATGAATCCATATGGTAGGATTTGTAAAGAATTTATTCGTAAATCAGGGTGGAAAATAAGTATTTGGTCACCTCAAACATGGAAAATCTGTGGCTCTCACAGACCTGTAACGTCTTCTGTAAGAAGCTTTTCTGTCCCCCACTCGTTACCTGTATGAATGGCACCTGTTTGAACTCATCATCTGTATAAAAGACACCTGTCCACAGCCTCAAACAGTCAGACTCCAAACTCCGCCATGGCCAAGACCAAAGAGCTTTCGAAGGACACCAGGAAAAGTATTGTAGACCTGCACCAGACTGGGAAGAGTGAATCTACAATAGGCAAGCAGCTTGGTGTGAAAAAATCAACTGTGGGAGCAATCATCAGAAAATGGAAGACGTACAAGACCACTGATAATCTCCCTCGATCTGGGGCTCCACGCAAGATCTCATCCCGTGGGGTCAAAATGATCATGAGAACGGTGAGCAAAGATCCCAGAACCACACGGGGGGACCTGGTTAATGACCTGCAGAGAGCTGGGACCAAAGTAACAAAGGTCACCATCAGTAACACACTACAACGGCAGGGAATCAAATCCCGCAGTGCCAGACGTGTTCCGCTGCTGAAGCCAGTGCATGTCCAGGCCCGTCTGAAGGTTGCCAGAGAGCACATGGATGATACAGCAGAGGATTGGGAGAATGTCATGTGGTCGGATGAAACCAAAGTAGAACTTTTTGGTATAAACTCAACTCGTCGTGTTTGGAGGAAGAAGAATACTGAGTTGCATCCCAAGAACACCATACCTACTGTGAAGCATGGGGGTGGAAACATCATGCTATGGAGCTGTTTTTCTGCCAAGGGGACAGGACGACTGATCCGTGTTAAGGACAGAATGAATGGGGCCATGTATCGTGAGATTTTGAGCCAAAACCTCCTTCCATCAGTGAGAACTTTGAAGATGAAACGAGGCTGGGTCTTCCAACATGACAGTGATCCAAAACACACCGCCCGGGCAACAAAGGAGTGGCTCCGTAAGAAGCATTTGAAAGTCCTGGAGTGGCCTAGCCAGTCTCCAGACCTCAACCCCATAGAAAATCTGTGGTGGGAGTTGAAAATCCGTGTTGCTCGGCGACAGCCCCAAAACATCACTGCTCTCGAGAAGATCTGCATGGAGGAATGGGCCAAAATACCAGCTACTGTGTGTGCAAACCTGGTAAAGACCTATAGTAAATGTTTGACCTCTGTTATTGCCAACAAAGGTTATGTTACAAAGTATTGAGTTGTATTTTTGTTATTGACCAAATACTTATTTCCACCCTGATTTACGAATAAATTCTTTACAAATCCTACCATGTGGATTCATGGATTTTTTTTTCACGTTCTGTCTCTCACAGTTGAAGTGTACCTCTGGTGCAAATTACTGACCTCTGTCATCATTTTAGGTGGGGGAACTTGCACAATCGGTGGCTGACTAAATACTTTTTTTGCCCCACTGTACAAATCACACGGGCTCATCAAAATCAATCTCTAGAAGCCTGGGAAAAGTTGCCTGCTCTGATGAATCTCAG